CTATTTGTTGCTGTCACTGTACATTTTACTATACTCTATCCGCAATGGGAATTGTGGTTTCCGAAACCTCTGGAACATAAATATTGCAGACAGTAATATTTATTAAAAATTTCAAGTTTTGAGCTCATTCAAATGAAGTAATGTGAATTGTCCTTGTTCGAGTGCAGCGAAACGAACACGAGCACGTGTTCTTTTATAACTTTATATGTTTGGATTTGCACTATGTGTACCTTGCCTATTGTATGTATTTTGTCTTGTATTGTTCCCTTTATGTTATAGACTTTCCTTTTCTGTATCAGTGTTAGTTCCACTGCCACCGGATGAACACCCAATTACAGTAAAATAAAAATAATAATGGATGAATAAGTAACTGAATCATAATATTGTGACGTGGATGGCTCAACGAGACGTAGGGGTCACGTGAACTCTGCGGTCTCTCGAGTGACGTCACATACCTCCACTCCTTCCATCAGTGCGCAACTCTCGGTAAACACCGCCTCCCCCGCGGTGATGTAACAGGGGAGCAACTGTGTCAGGCAACCATTGACGCGGTGACGTAATAAGGAATACCGCGGTTACTACACAGCAGTAAACAACTCTCGACAGTGTTGCCAGACAACCTGTAAACAGTCACGCAATAGCGGTACCTATCACGTAACTGTTTTCTGTGTTGTCCGTGCCGAGGCTAAATAAGGAGCAGCGAACACTATCCATTAGTGAAGATTGAGCCAGTTACGAATGAGTGAGTAGTGAATGAGATACTAGAGATCTAGAGTAACCTATCAGTTTCAATCTAGCAGTCGCCCAATTGTATCGAGTGCATGGCAGTAACAACAGAAGTATCTGTGATACTGCCGATGACAGTAGTTGTGAGATTATGTACTGTGTGATTGTAAGAGCGAATGGGCAATAAATTCGCCATATCCAATACGGAGTAAAGTTATTTGACGCGTGACTTACCCAACACGTGACAGTATGATTCGTAGGTAATTTGTAGTTAATTTGACGTGATATATCTTTCACTTCCACACGCTTCGAAGCTGAGGCGACCCTGAGTTGGATCCACAACACTTGTCCCCTAAAAAACCCCTTATTTTAAGTCCTGCAAATATGTCGTGAGTCTCATAATTCAGGACGTTCTTACGGTGAAATAAATACCTCACGCGAAGTCATAAGGAGGAGGGCTGTATATTAAAAGTCCTCGGATAGCTATTGAACATAACGTTTGCTGCCTTCTTCATCTAGAGATCGTTTTCTTCATCCGTACCTTGAGAACATAAAACGTGACATTAAGATATCCACATTATATGGTTATCCCTTCCGGTTCTTTTCGTGATTTATTTGAAGATGATGTTAGCATCGAGACTGCATAGCATCAAAAAGAAAAATGATAAATAAGGTAGAGGTGTCAATTAAGGCCAGGCTGATAATAACGCCACTAGTATTTACTGGAAGTGTTCGTGAAAATGTCTTAGTGATGTCTTCGGCGTTTAGTTTGTGCGAGCACTGGGTCACGTCCGCCTACTACCAGTGTCACCTTTAAACCATCGAGGTCTGTCTCAGTAGGCTGAAAGAGCTCGAATAGTTATCGCGTGAGAATTGCTACCTTTCCTTTAGGACTCCAGGATATTCGTGCGTTCATAGGATAAAAGTTCTATTGTTAACAATGCTCAGCTAATGTAGTCTGTACGTGGCTGGATGTTATGTATATTCCTCCATCTCCTGACGGTATTAGAAGGTATATTTTTCTGAATTATTCAACTTCATTCTGCAATAAACGATAACAATACAGTTCATGTAATACCGCCATTGTCGATTAGGTTAATGTGACGTATCGACCCACTGCTAGGCAACGACTTGATAAAAATATTCCTGCAACAAACGTGCACGCGACAATAGAATGATATCTATTTCTAGGCATCGGAGCTATAAACACCTTTTTAATGGGTTCCGACCCGAGGCTATATAACGGGAGTCTGTAGCTAGGGAGAGTAGACTGGAGAATTGGAATTGGGAGTTCAGAAGTTGTAGGAGTACAGAACTGTAGTCGAAAGAGAATTGGGTTGAGTATTCGTAATTGGCATCTGCAGGAAATGGGAAGAAAGGAATTAGACTGTGCCAACAAACCATCATGTATGCGTTTAAGTGAGAGTGGGACTGTGATAAATCCGTTGCCAGGATACGACTAGTGAAAGCTGAGAATCCTAGTGATTGTACAACGGTGAACTGAAAGGGTGCAGAATAACGATAGCCTGTATTGCCTGTAGTCCCGAACTGTGCGAATCTATAAATGTCGATAAATTCAATTATTCAATTCAGAAGCCGTTATTATTGGTCACGGAACCTCGGACACGTGACAATAATATCACTAGTTTCACTTTGCGCTTTATAAGTTTTTAAGTGCAAATAAGGGGAAGTTGTATCTTCATTGGAGAGATTAGCTTGTTTAACAGAACACATCCGCCCTTATATGTTGACATCTCTATGTTACGCTCCTGTCCATCGCTTATTCTGTCACATGCGTATCATCGTTCTCTTGTCTTCAACGTTTCTTTCGGGATCTTTTTTTAAATCTGGTAGTATTCTTTTCAGACTGTAGTGAAGGCACGCACAGGTGTCAGGGTACAATGGTGAACATAATCTTTGAATATCACCGTGTGAGCTCGAACGGCTGGGACTGCCCTTACAACTGCATCCAGGAGACACTTCGTGGCCGGATTCCTTAGTTACTTACTTACTTACTCATGGAGCTCAGCCCTTTTTGAGGAGCCGCCAATTCTGCAGCTACTCAAGAATTTCCCAGTATTTTATGGAACCCGAAGGTTCATTACAGTGTTCACAAGAGCCCTCCACTGTTCCCTATCCTGAGCCAGATCTATCCAGTCCATACCATCCCATCCTATCTCTCTAAGATCCATTCTAATATTGTCCACCCACCTACGCCTTAGTAGTCCCTGTGGTCTCTTTCCTTCTGGCTTTCCCACCAATACCCTATACGAATTCCTCACCTTCCATTCGTGCTACATGACCTGCCCAACTCATCCTCCTTGACTTGATCATTCTAATTATACTTGGAGAAGAGTACAAGTTATGAAGCTCCTCATTATGCAGTTTTCGTGGCCGGATTAGTTGAGAGAATTCTCCTCTGAAGAAGCTAGAATGAAATTCACTCTTGTCTGCAGATTCTGAAAAACAACTGCACCAAAACAAGCTCGTTTTTTACTTACACGAAATCACACTCGCAGGTTTGCTGTTTAAATATGCAAGGAACACAGCGTGCGGAGTCCGTGGAGAGGCAGAATTGAGGGAAAGGGGTGGTTTGCTCTTTGAGAAGGAGCCCAGGCTTAACTACCAGAAAAGCAGATTCATCAGCTATGGTCGGCTGATGAGATATTTCAGAGAAACTCCATATGGTTTCTTCATACTTCTGAGACAAACAATGGACCCTATAAATTTGCCACAGTGGCAAATATAATATACAATATAGATGAAACAGAACGTAAACTGACTTACAATTCCGGTAATTAGGAATCAGTAAAAGAATTTAAAACTGACACTCACGGATGTAAAGTAGAGACCGTGACGTTAGTTATGGCCGCGCCATAGCTGAAGCGGTTAGTCGCTGGCTTCCCACCGCGGCGGCCCGGGTTCGATCCCGGGGCTGGTCAAATGGGATTTGTGGTGGACAAAGTGGCGCTGGGACAGCTTTCCTCCGAGTGGTTCTGTTTCCCCTGCCAATCTTCATTCCACCAATTGCTCCACAATCACCCTCACCTATCATCTAGGGCTGGTATAATAGGCCAGGAGTGGCCTCAGTACAAAGGACTTAGTCCCACCCCACTAGCTAATTGTCACTTCTAAAGAAATTAAGATTTGATTATTTCTGACGTATAGTTCGAAAGTTATGAAAGATTAACTGAATTGTTGGCTTTATTTGTCACCTTTACCGTAAGTGATGAACTGGAAGGATTGAAGGAGGAATCGGTTTTATCCTAAATGAAGTACTACCCCTGCCTTTGCTTCGATAGACTAAGGAAACCCTGGAAAAACCTCAAACTATTCACTGTCCCGACAGATTTTCCAGCAGCTGATCTCCCGAATTCAAGTCTACACCAATCCTTCCAGACATTTTGTCTATTATCTCGAGAAATTTTAAGGTGAAATACTGGGTTAAAGTTGTATGGGATATATCCTACTAAATTTCAAAACAGTGACCATAATGTCAGTTGAATTATTTCTGTTTACTTTCTTCGTAACGAGAAAGAGAATAGATTTTAGATCGCCACTCAACGAACAGTGCTAGTTCACTATAAGTATATTTGCATGCAATACCATTCTAGACAAATGAATGAAACGAACTTCCAAGCATCGAGATTTATATTCTGAAAAATACATTTCCATTCATTTAAATCAATTTGTAAATTTCATTTTCAGCATGATTTTCTTTTTATTCTAATCATCTTTGTGCTTATGTTCAAAATATATAAATGTAATTCGTTTACTGATTTTTTTTACAACAGCCTTTCAAAATTCAATGACTTTATTAATTTCAGTTCCTCCCCCCTTGTTTGCTGCTATGATGCAGGAAATGGAGGGAGGTATAAAAAAAATTAGTCCGAGTTTTAGCAGGAGCGTTGTTTAATTGTTAATTACGTTTTGTTTAATTTACTTTTTCCAATTTCCAACATTTTAAATATTTTCTCTGAAAAATTCCAGTTAATTTCACACGTGTGGTACGTTTCAGGCGTCATTTCCATCTGAACTAGAATAAAACAGCATCGCAAACAAACGGACGGTTGAACAATATTTGACTTTCTTTTTCCGTGAACGCAGACCACTGGGCGCCGCTGGGTGTATGTAGCAAAAGGTTAACCGGAAGAATATCAATCCCAATTGCTGAACAATGACAGGTAGAGACATCTGCGGTTGAGATCTAAAATCACACACGAAACTTTTAATATTTCCTGTACTTCAGATCTTCAGATCCTGTGTTGCTATGCTGGGCCGTGCTGGCCTTCAAACTCGTTTGTGTTGCATCGCTGTAGACGCGTGAGTGTGCAGTGCGTTCAGCCTCGGTGAATGGAACAAGATCCATGCGGAGTCAAATCGCAATTGACGGTAACAACAACAGACAATATTAAGCAATACGTTTACAAAATTTAAATACATGCTGTCGAGTGTAGGACGTGTTCACGGACTTAAGGGTGGATGTAGTGGCCTGGATAGTTGTTACAACCGTCCTTAGTACTGTGGTATGTATGAAGCACACCTATTCATTTTTATATTATTGAGTGGTATGCAAATCGCCGTATTTCCACGCCTAATAAGACAACCTACAACCTGATTAAATTTAACTTATCACTTACACTACTACAGAATCCACAGAACATGTTCACTGATTCAAAGCGTTTTATTTTCGTAAGAGTGATGCAAAATTTAAATAAAACGAAATTGGAAATGACATTGTTTTAGAATCTGTTCTCTCGGTATTTTCATACTTTGTACTGGCAGATGCTGAAATAGCAAATGCTTTCAAGTATTCGCAGTGTGACTGTTAAGTAGCTACGGTAATCTCATGTGGAATCTCGATGGCTTGGTCGGGATAGCTACTAAGTTATGGGCAAAGCAACCAACGAATCAGAGTTCGATTCCTGACAGGGGCAAGAGATTTTCCTGTTCTCCATATCATCCAGACCAGCTCTGGAGTCGACCTAGGCTCCTATCCATATGGATACTGAATATGGTTACACATAAGGCAGAAGGGTGAATCTAAAACACACGTTCGCCTAATGCCGAATTCAAGAAATGTGGAGCTATATTCCCTCCCCCAATACGTCTTCTTGATGTGGCGTTTAATTAATTAAGCTCCTGAATACATTTAACTTTTACCGTTATCGTGTTCAAGGATTTATACAGCCCACACATCTAAAGACTCAGTAGACTGCAGTGACCTTCCTCCTCAAAAAAAGTTGAAGAATGTTAAATCCGGGGACCTAGGAACCAGGGCTCCATCTCCCACCCACAATCTGGAAACTTTTCATTTATAGCAGCTCGAACAAAGTTGCGAAAACGTGGCGGTGCACCATCTTATTGGAAAACTTCAACTTTCCCGTCTCACAGTTTTGTGAAAGCGACGTTTTCGAGCATATCATGGGACATGGTCCGCGCTTCAGAAGAAAAAAGAAAGAAAGTTATATCTGCAGAGAGGGTTTATCATCCCAATAACTGTGGCATTGCGAAGGATCCTGATGTGAAAATTTACTAATATAAATTCTATGAGTGTGTCAACCTTTTTGACTTTGTTTCATTCAGTTGCATATAAAGCTTACGAAGATATAGCGCTTTGAAACACCAAACATGTTCTGTACAATGTGATTAATGGTATAAAACGAATGGATCATGTGTTTCCAAAATGAAGTTTTCCAGAAAGTTTCATTTTGACTCACACCAGTTCATCTCTGTTTCCAATAGATTAACGTGCAAACTAATCTCTGTTACTGTCTTCAGTTCTCTATACAGCTAATAAGAGACTCTATACTCATGTAATTAGTTGCTAAATGATTTGAAGCATAAGTGTTCAGTTTTCTTTTTGCTAATAAGATAGATTCTATATCATTTCATTTAACTTATAGGGCATTTATGGTATTTTAATCAAATTCAGTGTAAGCTTTGTTAAAATAGAAATTGTTAACTAATTTCAATACTATCCGCACCGAAATACCAATGACGAAAACGAACGAGGCATGTAACACGAACAGGAAGAAATAGAAAAGGATAAAAACTTAAGTGCGAAACCTGAATGGAAGAGACAACTTGAAATATACAGGCTCAAATGGGAGGATAATATTAGAGGGAACTTAGAGAGGTAGGACACGACGATGTGATGTGGATACATCTTGTGAATATAATATGGATTTCTTAATAAATGAAGAATTTATTGACTACCTGAGGGAGTACCAACTTTCCATCAAGGGCCTGTTAAAATGAGGGCGAATATCAAGCATTTTTTTTTGTAGAATTAGTTCATTATTAAGGGCCAAAATTTATTAAAATATACTTTCTTCCTTGAATTTTTGCGCTATAATAAATCAAACAGACGACAAATAATTTTTCTTGTGCATTATCTTGCCTCGGGTGTTCTGTGATTGAAAACAGTATTTTATTATTAAGAGGCATGCAGCCTACTCTAAAGGGAACTAGCATTGATTCTGTTCTGGTGAAAGGGGGACGTGCACGAGAGCTCCCTTAGCTACTGATCATTCTCCATGTATTTATAGTCAGATGTTCTTCATGTCAAAACACAAATAATCCGAATGATTCGTTCAAAATATCATATGAACTTGCTTTATAAATTTTAGAGTTATTGTAGTGTATAGAGTGATTCTAAATTATTGTCGTAGTTTCCGTGAAATATAAAATTAAAACCAGAAGCAAAGAATAAAATTCCTCGCGAAATATAAAAACGTAGCTCAAAACGTTTTATTACTCATAGGTCAATACTGCATAATCCTAAATACCATGAACATGCGCTACTTCCATAGCACATAAGGCTTGAAAATTATAGGCCACGGAAAACCTGATAATAATTTAGAATCACCCTGTGCTTCCATTCGTTCGCCGCATTCCGAAATCTGAACTGGAAACAGTTATTTTATGTCGAGGGAGTATAATGCAGGTCTATGTAACATCATCTCATATTCACTGCGAATTTCCGTGTAGATGTAAAACGTGATCTATCAAATTAACGAGGTGCAGAAAGTTTAATTTGTCCCTCAATATATTATATATAATCAAAATGCTTATATATCTAATCAGTTTTTGCTTGAACCTTGTAAAGAACTCTAAGCGCTTTTTAAAAGCCGCCCGTTTTGCAGCTACCTAAGAGAAAAGAACTCTACAGACTTAAATAAAGAAAGAAACGCAGTCGAAACTTCACAGAGTAGTGGCACCGCCAGCTTTGCTCTGTTCGAGGTAAAGCTGGCTAATTGACTAGAGACAAGTACAGATGAAACAACAGTTAAATACCACAGTAATGGGACATAAATGAGAACATATAGATAAAATGGTAAATTTGTTCCCATGCTTAATTAGTCAAGCACCACACCATGAAATTAATGTAGGGGAGTGGAGGTATAGCTCCACTATTCTTGATCTCGACACTGGCTGCAGGTGAATGGTCAACTTGACGCCCCTGCCGCTTTGTTCTCGGGAAGAAAAACAGCCGTACCCTCATGGCAGGAGGCTGGATGAACTCCAGACCAGGTATGGAGGCTATGGACGGAAGAAGAACCCCTTTACTATACCCGGAATCGAACCCCGACCGTACAGCCTATAGTTCATCGCTATACCGAGTGAGCTATCCCGGCTCCTGAAAATTCATCAGTACAAAATTAAATGAAATAGATGAAAACAAGAAACAATGATTAGACCATTTGTAAAGAATTACTGATGCAAGAGTACGGAAACAGATTCTCCGGTATTCACCAAACGAAAATCGAAACCGAGGAATGAACTGGGAAAGATCAGATGCAAATATTTTTACAATCAATGATTTGTTTCTCTGCATAATCTCATNCCGTGTCTCACGGTGTTGTCGCTTGCAGATTTACTTATACTTTTTCTTCAACCCTGAAGATGGGGGCGATACGTTCCTCCGAAACGTCGGTTAACACCACATATACACGGTGCCAAATCCCAGAAGACTGCTTTCTTCATAGTCACCGCCGTGAAAGCCTCAAATCTTACACCATATTGCTGTTTTGTATTAGAGAAAATTACATCGATGAACTCTACGTATTTGGAGAGATCTGCCCCATACCATATTTAAGAATCCTATACTAAGTGGTGCCAGTGTAGTTCTACGCACACGCGCACACACACACACACACACACACACACACACACACAGGTTGGCGCCGTCTCTCTCTCTCTCTCTAGATATTATTATCAAGAAACTGAAAAGTGTAAAGATTTGATCACCCCTACGGTCGTGACACACAAACCAAATTTAATGAAGACTCTAAACTGGTTAAAATATTATTATGAAAGATACACGGACATGCTGATAAAATATATACGAGTACTTTCATCTTTGTAAAATAGGTTATAGCAAGATTCCTTAAACTAAAATTGCTATTTCCAGGATTATATGATGGGGTACCCAAAAGAAACCGAACTAATTTTTTTGTGGACAGAGCTTTTGTAGCACCGCGTTTTGCCGCTATGAGCGCATAGAGCTAACATTCCTGAGTCGATAAGCCGACTACCGTTGCTTCAGAAGGTAAGGACTAGTTTCGGCAGAGTTTATAGTGACAACTGTTTTGTGTGATCGTCGTTTTTGCAATGGCTGATTTTCGTGAACAGCATGCGGCGGTGAAATTCTGCTTTCTGCTCGGGAAAAGTGGAACAGGAACTCTTGAAATGTTAAAAACGGCGTACAAGGACGATGCTATGGGGAAAACTCAAGTTTTTGAGTGGTTTTCCCGTTTCAAAAATGGTGAAATATCAATTGATGACAAACCTCGTTCTGGTCGTCCTTCCACGGCCCGAACACATGAAAATGTTGAAAAAATTCGTGAAATCATCAAGGAAGATCGACGACGGACCATTGAAGAAATTGTGGAGCTGTCGGGAGTGACTTGGAGCTCAGCGGCCAGATTTGTGGCAGTCGGGTGACTGGTTTTTCCATCATGACAATGCCCCTGCTCACACAGCCCTGTCTGTACGACAATTCTTGACCAAAAATGGTATGACCCCTGTTCCTCACCCTCCATACTCACCCGACCTTGCCCCGTGCGACTTTTTTTTTGTTTCCTCGAATGAAAAGAGACATGAAAGGAAAAAACGACGGAGGCGCTGTCAAGCATCTCAAAAGATGAATTTAGACAATGTTTTGAAAAATGGAATAAAAGACTAGACAAGTGTATTAGTGTAAGTGGACAGTACTTTGAAGGGGATTGAAGGTTTGTGCTTAAAGTTTGAATAAATAAGTTAAAAAAAATAAGTTCGGTTTCTTTTGGGTACCCCCTCGTATACTCTTAGATTCGAAAGGGTTCTGATGATGATTTATAAGACCCAGAATTACTGGGTTTTGTATTTTTTCCATTGCCCGGTATTCTAGAAAATAGAAAACACGACTTCTCTGACACTTAGTTTTTTCCGTCCTCAAGTGAGGAGGGGAAGACCCCTACTCAGGTGGGGCCCTTAGAAAGAGCTAAAGTTAAGACGGAAACAGATCCAGTTTGCGAAACGT